TGCCCTTTGTGACAGTCTTAACTTTCGTTACGCGTTCCATTTGTTATATTCGTTGGAAAAGATTTTATTTTTATAAAATCTAACGCATATAGAAAATGTTACCGAAGGCACAATATATGGCACTCTCAGCCGCTCAAAAGCGTGCTGTCAAAGCTAAGCTTGGTATGGTCCCTCGTCGTGCTCCAGCGAAGAGGGCAAGAGTTGCCCCTAGAAGAGCTCAAGCGACTCTAGGATCAAGAGCAGGTCGTTATTTGGGATCACTGGTCCCATACGCACCTGGAATTGGTGCTGAAGTTGGATCTTGTCTAGGAGATGCGGCCCATAAAGGCATAGCATCGGTATTTGGACAAGGAGATTATGCAATCGCCAACTTCAGGGTAAAGGACAATACGCTCCTTTCACCTGGTAACACCCCTCCACAGTTTACTAGTGGAGATCGTACAACACGTGTTAGACATCGTGAGTATATCGGAGATGTGTTTAGCTCTGTGAGTTTCAATCAGAGCGTGTACTACATAAATCCTGGACTTGGATCGACCTTCCCATGGTTGAGTTCCATAGCAGGTAACTTCGAGTGTTATAGACTACGAGGCATGCTCTTTGAGTACAAGAGTATGAGTACTAACTCACTATCCGGTTCAGCAACTTCTTTGGGTACCGTGATGATGGCGACGCAATATAACTCAGCGTCGTCCAACTTTGTGTCAAAACAACAGTTGGAGAACTACGAGTATTCTCAGAGCTGTAAGCCTGCAGAATCGATGTTACATTATATCGAGTGTAATCCACGAGAGACTCCCGTATCTGAGCTTTATGTGAGGATCGGAACAACTCCAGCTGGACAAGATTCTCGATTGTACGATTGGGGTCAATTTTCTATAGCCACCCAGGGTATGGGTTCTAATAACCAGAACCAGGGTGAACTTTGGTGTACTTATGACATTGAGTTGTTCAAACCAAAGTTAACACAGGGACAATATGGGTATGAAATTAACACATTTCATACTGCTCTTGCTACTACTGCTAGTGCAACAAACTATTTCCCACCCGCTTTTACATATTTCAATAATATGGCTATGGTTGTCGGTGCTTCAACCCTCACATTCCCTCAGGCAATTGTGACTGGAGTGTATCGTCTTACGTACTACATTAGTGGCGCATCTGGTGCGACATCAACTCCAACTTTCACTGCTACAAGCAACTGTGCGTTGGGACCTGGAGTTTTCCATGGTACCCAATCTAGCTCTGCTGCAACACTAGGACCACAGAATACTGGTTATTTTGTGTTGATAGGATATGTGACTATCAATGGTCCAGCAGCTGTTGTGACGATCTCAGGAGGAACATTCCCATCTGGTATATCCGGTGGTGATCTTATCATCGAACAAGTCAATGGACTGTTCGCTTAGGAAGGAGGACCTACTACTGGAGGTACCTCTCAGGCTAGTACATCTAGCAATCCTACTCCTATGACTCAGGTGG